AGTTCAAAGTTGATGAGATTGTAAGAAAATACTAAATATATCCCAAATCTAAGATAATATTAAAGTAATTTTAACAATTTTTTTTTTTTGAATGGAAGCAATTACAGTACGTCAGTACTATTGAAACTTAGCTTTTAGTGTTTTGATTAAATAATGTCGTGCACACTTATCCACTTATGTAAATAAATGAAGATACAATAAATTACATTTCTCGTTTAATATAAAGTTAATTTCATACTCTCACGTAGAGCTTTTCACTATTTTTCTTTCCATGAGTCATGAGTGTGGGCATGCCTGACCACAAGTCCACAACAATTCATGATAATTTGATCTCCAATATTCACTCACTCTACTACTTTAACTGTAATTTATTAATTAAATTAAAATGTACAACGAAAGGCCAACCCGTTCGGCCAACCCCTAAATAAAAGTTTTCTATTAAAGAATGAAATGATAAGTAATTTCATGTCATAATCGTCATCACAATTATCCTTCATAATATTTTCACCAAACAAAATATAAACAACTTACTCCCTCCGTTTCAATTTCTAGCTTTGACATAGTTTGACTTTGCAAAGATTATGGAATTTTTTTACTAAGGGTAAATTTTACTGTTTGAACACTGTTTCGACACTGTTTAGCACTGTTTAGTATTGTTTTGCACTATTTTGTACTGTATTGTTTACCAAATGGGAAGTGTGGCATTCATTTTGAAATGTCCAAAAAGGAAAAGCGTGTCAGAAAAACTGAAACGGATGGAGTATATGAAAATTATATACAATTAAAAAATAATTCTTATTAACAATTTATCAAATTTCTAGAGAAAGGATTTTAGATTCAGCTATTAATGCATATATCATTGGCCACTGGCATCTTAAGCTGCAACATCACTCATTTGTATTCTAAAAATAAATCTCACTTTTTGGTGAGAGAAAGGCAAGAAAACTGATTGTATTGGTAACACATTGTTCTAAAAAAAAAAGGTACGCTACATGTAGAAGTCATTTAAGATCGATTAGACGACAAAATGTGAGCTGCATGGTATGTGCGCCCTGACAGAAGTCTACAATTTCGCGGTGTAATTAAAGTACATTCATAAATAATACTACGTACTACATAATGGTTATTATGCAAAAGCAATTTGAATCATATTCTAGCATGTGCTTAGGAATTGTCTATCAACTGCACGTGCGTTGCATGGGATGAATTTGCAAAGCATTTCTAAAAAGATAAAGATACTATATAGTGAAAATAAAACATGCTTATGTTGTATTTTGGATAGATAAATGATGGTAAAAATAATTACAATATATATATATATATATATATATATATATATATATATATATATATATATATAGGCTGAAGGGTCAAATAGGCTCTTGAACTGACTTAAAGTGTTCAATTAGCCCCTTATATAGGAGGTTTTGCCCGACCGTTGCCAATTGGTGCGGTTCCCAGTGGATTTTTTTGATGAAAGTTTTTGAGCATCTTCTTCATTAAGTCTAGTTTACTCATACCAAATTTCAGCTAAAAACTGAACCGGGAAGGCAGTCAAATGATTTTTTGAAGATAACTGCAAAGTTAAACAGCGCAGTACATTTCGGAAAATCATTTGACTGCCTTTCCGGTTGAATTTTTAGCTGAAATTTGGTATGAGTAAACTAGACTTAATGAAGAAGATGATCAAAAAAATTCATCACAAAATTCCACCAGGAACCGGCCCAATTAGTGACGGCCGGGCAGAACCTCCTATATAAGGAGCTAATTGAACACTTTAAGTCAGTTCAAGGGCCTATTTGACCTTTTAGCCATATATATATCACTATAAACAACATTTAAAGCTTTTCTGGTTAGTTTTCTATCATCTTCACATACAATAAACTTCAATCTTGAAAGGATGTCACTCTTAAAATTGTGACGTACAGTTGTCCATGTGTGAAAACAGATAACGTAAGAAACCACCAACCCTCTCCAAAAGTTGTTCCTGACTCTTGTTGATGGTCATTGTGTAACTAAGTGTCAAAGATAATCTACACAAATAAGGGAACTAATCAATAAGAAGAAATAATGACATATTTATAATTAAAATAAAGATGATGGACAAAAAAGAACCTCTTAATTGTAGTGACTATTTGTATGTTTCGATTTTTACATTGATGTAACCATGATATTATACTCACAATAAGTGGTCACAATTGTCCCAACTTTTATTTTCAAGAAATTCCACTAACATTGTCTCATATCGAATTTGATAAAGTTTGTGTGACTCTAAATTATTCTTACCTTATTCTTACCTTATAAATTCAATATCAACCATAAAAATTCATTTTTTTTAAAAACTGTGTCTCACCTCCTCATGTTTTAATGTTAGTGGGATGGACTATGGAGGTAGTGTGAGTCAAGACAATCTTAATTCAAATTGTCAAAATCAAAGAGAAACACTCTTGAAAGTTGAAAGAGACTACTTTCCAACAATTCACATTTAGTATGGCTGGATATGTACAATATGTTACAAAATTTTATAATAATTTTATATTGATGGAAATGATTTGTTTGCAGTCATATTAAGTCACAGTGATTTATTAACATTAATAATTTACAAATTTCACATCAATTAGATTCATTACTAAAACAAATATAGGACTGGCCCATGAAAGATGTCAAAAAACGTGAAGGATATTAGAATCATTACCATCCAAGTGATGAAATTTTCCAAAAAAAAAACAAATGGCTTCTTGGCAGATTATGTAGGATGATTGTGACGTAGGCTTGGCAGGATGCTCTTTTACCTGTAGATCCAGCACTGATTACTTCATCACTCTTGGAAATTCACCTATCTCTTGGCGGACTAAGAAACAATATGTTGTCTCTCGTTCTTCCGCTGAAGCAGAATACCATATATGCCATGGTTGTCACGGTTAGTGAAATTCTATGGCTTCGATGGCTTTTTCGATACCTTATGGCTTCTCAGCAGAATCCTACACTCTTATATTGTGATAATAAGGCGACTCGACATATTGCCATCAACTCAGATTTTCATGAACGCACGAAACATGTTGAAACAGACTATTATTTCTTTCGAGAAAGAGTTGCCAGTAATGAGATTCAACCGCTACCTATCTCCACAAACAATTAGGTGGCAGATATATTCACCAAAGCACTTGGTGCCGAACGTTTTCAATTCCTTCGGAGCAGGTTGGGTGTTCGTAACATTCACACTCCACCTTGAGGGAAGTATTGAGATGTGTAAAAAATATTTATATTACTCTATTATTAGATTAGACATGCAATACTACTAGCACTACAGTCCACTTACGTCACTTGGCATGGCCCCATGGAAACAACGTTCACATTTCCTAGCCAAGTATGATTGGCATACTGCTTATAATAAATACCCATGCGCAGCTCGTATAATAGCAAACATGAGAAGTGCAATATTATTAGATTAGTAAAAGTTCTAAGTTATCCGTATTAATTTTATCATGGTATCAGAGTCAAATTTCTGGAAATAATTATTCTCATTTCTTTAGATTTTTCTTTTTTCATAGCCAAAACATGGTGGTTGGTGATATAACCGTTGAATCCAGTAATGAGGTTATGAGTTCTTCTTCCTCTACTCAAGTAAATATGACAAATATGTTGCGATATTCTCGAAGTTGGATAATTGACTCTGGAGCTACTGAACATATCACTTGTAGTTATATTGATCTTTTTAAATATCAATCACACGTCGGAGCCATCAGTCAGAATTCCTAATGGTGAACCTGTTCCGGTTCATGATGTTGGTAGTCTATACTTACCCAATGGGCTCCATCTTGAACGTGTTCTATACATTCTGAAATTCCGGTGCAACTTATTTTCAGTTAGTCGCCTAACAAACGATCTAAACTGTACACTTACATTTTTTCCAGACTTCTGTATCTTACAAGACATACCCACAAAAAGATTGATTGGTGTGGGAAAGTTTGTGGTGGTCTCTACTATCTCGAGTGTTCGAGAAGTGAGGGAGTGGCAATGTCAGCCACTATTACCTCTGATTTATGGCATCAACGTTTGAGACATGCATCTGATGGAAAGATACATCACATTATGCCTTTTCCTAAATGTGCCATTAAGACAACTCGGTGTTTTGAATTGATATATTGTGACATTTGGGGAGGCTACAGATGTGATTCAACTTCTGTTGCACGGTACTTCTTATCTGTTGTTGATGACTTTACTAGAGGTGTTTGGGTTTATCTAATGAAAAACAAATCTGAAGTTTCTCAAACTTTAATTCAATTTTGCAACATGGTCAACACACAATTTGAGAAAAAGGTCAAACGAATAAGGACTGATAATGGTGTGGAATTTCAAACCAACATCTTACTTGATTTTTTATGGACGCACCGATATATTATTTGAGACATCGTGCACAGACACTCTACAACAGAATGAGGTTGTAGAGCGTAAGCATATACACATATTGGAAGTTGCGAGGGCATTACGTTTCCAGTCCGGGTTGCCAATTGACTTCTGGGGAGAATGGATTTTAACTGTCGTGTACATTATTGATAGGTCTCCCTCACCAGACATTTTTAACAAAAGTCCTTATGAAATGTTGTTTGCGAAAGTGTCAAAGTACGATCATTTGCGTGTATTTGGATTTTTGTAGCATGCTCATAAATAGAAGATCATGTCTTCTATTTATAAATCACTCCATGAGTTAATCACTTGTTTGTTCTATAAATAGAAGATTTCTCTCCTTCATTATAAACATATCATTAATATCATCAATTCTCCTAAGAGTATACATAATATGTTCTCTTCTTTCCAATCTTTTGATTATTTCCTTCAATTTCACAAAAGGAACCCAATCATAAAGAAATTGTAATTCATCGGGCCAAAACCCGAACCCTACGGGCGGGTGAATCAATGGGGTAGCCGGGTATGGTAGTTTAGACTTTAGAGGGTATATTTGACATTTAAAGTTGTACATTTTCTCTTTGAAATGAGAAGTCAATTCAGAAACGTTTCTTGGAAGATATACATATTACTGTGCGCTATTTTATTCAAAAAACCTCTCTGGTACGAGCGCTTTCAACCAACCAGTCAGCAGTCACCCATGACCCACCCGCCGGATTTCTAAAGGATCCGGAGAAAGCAAGCCATGACCAAGAAGAAGAAGTGTTTGAGTAGCCCCAGTCCCATAAAACAGAAGTTTGCTTCCTTTGACTTCGCTGAAGAAGACGAGCGTGTAGAAATGGAAGCGAAGATGGCAGTCTCAAAATTCAAAAAAAAGCAAAGCCCTCAGAAGCACCACTCCCCCATTTCAAAGTTCACTTTCCTAAGTTCATGTAGGTTTGGTTTATTTTTCCCCTAATTTTAAAGCACGTTATTTCCTTATAATCGCATGTAACTTTCAAAATTGACCCCAGGCCGGATTTTGTCAGTGTTATGCATAGTTTTACACTGTTTGAGATGCATTGGCTGCTCTGAGTTGTGATAGCATCATTTCGTTTTCTGAATATGAAGTCTATTGTTGTTAATTTCTAGCATTGTGTGTTTAGGTAATATACCTTAAACAATGTTGACATTTACTGGTTGCTTTTTAGTTACTAGAGGAGAAAGGAATAAGAAAAATGAGATTGTGAATGAAGTTGTTGATATCGACTCTTCTCATGGTCACACGGATGATGGGATCATCAAGTGTGATAGAGTTGAGCCATCTGGTTCTTCTGACCAACAGTCATTGGATATTGATCACACTGAGTATCATGAGGTGGAGAGTTCCTCTAATGAAGCTACACCCAATCCAGCCAGACGTTCAGGCATTGTGATTGATGACAAACATTTACCTCACAGCCGTAGTCCTCAATTCCCAGCTGACGTAAGTAGATTTTGCATTCTTCTCATTGTGCTTGATATACGTTCTTGATTTCTTTTACGTTCCTGTGTGTACTTACTTATTTTAGTAAAGTTCTAATTTTAAATATAATATGTGTAGAATGAGCCAGTTATTGTAGATTCAGATGATGACTCTGTGAGTGGGTCGAGGTCTTCAAAATCATTTTCCATTGGACAGTTTCAGGGTTGGTTTTCCTAATAGAACCATGTATGTAACTTGTATTTTTATGCAATGTTTTTTTTTTAAATCTACAGTTTGTGCTGTTGTAGGTTTGCTAGAGGAACAACCATTGAAGTGCAGCTCTCATGTACATGTCAGTGTAAGCTTTTATATGCATACTTAACTGTTTCACAAACATACGATTTCACATTACATATACTAGGTGGCTCTATTAAGTTCTGATGTCAAGTTACTAGTTTGAGTGAAGCGTTGATGAATTGGCTTTCTATATTATAGACTCATTCCAAGGACCCCATGCTGGCATACTTTAATGTCCAGTGCCCACTGCCCACATTACCAAATGTGTAAATAAAGTCACATCAATTCCATATGAACCCACATGGCCCTCATGACGTTATTTCCCCACTTGGCATTTTGATTGTGTATTTTGTGTCCACTCCACACGGACTCCGTATAATTCTTGCTATATATATGGAGTTTCCATTTATTACATGTTTTCTCTCTTTTAAGTTTTTTTAATATCCTGAGCGGTTTTATATGATCTACAGGAAGATTCTGTGGTTGTTACCCCTGATCATATTATATATGGGAGTTTTTGTTCCACGAGTTGTAGTTTGGAATTTTCTTCGAAACACATTCAACTCAATGCTAAATGCATTTCTGAGACGAGGACGCGAACATTTAAATGGATGGTTTCTGATATTGTCTGCATCCAGTCAATGTGGTGTGATGTCGTGAGTTTCAATAAGCTTCTCTTTGTGCACATTCTCCGATTTTTTTCCCAGTAGGTAATAAGTGTGTGAATTCTAATCAGTTGAAGTTTCTTTTTTCCTTGTTAGATGAGAACAGCTAGTCTGTATCTTCACCTGAAATCTGAGAGTCAGAGAACATCAGGTTTGCAACTGCCAACGGCATAACAATTCTTTCATTAATCATGCTCAAACATCTGAAGACTAGAAAAGATGTTGATATTCTGCTTGGCTAAAAGAATATATTTTTTGTATCTGAATCATATTATAATGAACCATGGATGTCACCATGACATTGGTGATAAAGGTGGTGTTATGTCGCGTGTAATTCTTAACTACAGAATTTCTTGTAGTTGTAGATAGGTCAAGGTAGGTTATGGAGCATGGGGGGGGGGTATTTTCTCTAGTTAGACCGAAAATTTGTGGGTATAGTTTGAATTGTTTCTAGTTGTGCAAAAATTCTCCATGTTTACTAGTAAGGCTAACATTTGAAAAGAATGTATATAAGTTACTCTCTTTACACAATTCTTTTGTAAATGTAAAAAGGAAATGAAAAGGGAAAACATAATTCCTGTTATTTTCATATTAGTTAATCTGAAACCTTGGTGCTTATAGATGTTGAGATATTGGCAATTACTGTTTACAATCCTCGTTGGTCTGTCACACAAGAAGCAATTCAATCACTGGACATCAGCTATAAGGCTAAATGGAGAACTGCTGGGTGAGTTGCTTTATTTCACTTCAAGTCTTAAATTTTCATATTTTTAAAAATTCTTCATTTTCAAAACTTATAATGCAGTGCTCCAAATTAACTGATATTTATATAAAGAACTTACTTTTTCTCTCTATCCTTTAATGGATGGTAGATCATACCTTGTATACAATTTTATTAGTATGCATGTAGCCTTTATGTTTTGGGTATGTATATGTCATTTAGAGATTGGTGTTTAATGAGCGACTTCAATTTATCCATACTGGTTTGAGCATCTTTATCATCCTACAGCATATTGCACTTACGGAAATGCTCTCTGTTTCAGGGGTGAGACCAAACAAAATGAATTAGCTGCAGGGAATAAAAGGTTCTCTCTTTCAAGTACTTTTTTTGGGTTTTGACTTTTGATGGGAAAATGTCAGCTACCTATCTTCCAGACCTCTCTTGTCATGCTTTGCATGGGGAAACTATATCTCATTCGTATTTTAGAATTAAATTGAATTCAGTTATAATTCAGTTCAACGTACTACGTTCCATAATACTTTCCGTAAGTTCCTGTGATTATAGTCACTGTTCTACTCATTCCCAACTTCAATCATCATTTCAATCATCATTTACCCCAGTGCCACAAAGGCTCCCACCTATGCTGGGGTAAGGGGGGTCGGATGTACGCAGTCTTACCCCTGTACTAAAGCACAGAGAGATTGTTTCCGTATGACTCATAATGAAAATCGCGTCCAAAAATTGCATGGACTGACTGCTGCTTCATAACAAAGAAGCGCAGACAGTTTGGTGAGCCATTTTGCTTTATTCCATCATATTCTCAAGCCAAAAAATAATGAATCTTTGGCTCCATTGCAAATGATAGAAAATACTCATTCCCAACTTCCCATATCAATAATAAGAACATGGTGTTTGAAGTTGAATATCGCCCTGAGAAGTGTGGTAATTGCAAAGTTTCACTTGTCATGGTTTAATCTGGACTCTGATAACCATGGAACCCGTTCTATCCTGTACCCATCCCAATTTCTTGAAACCAAGCTATCTGAAAAACAGAGAAACAGGAAATGTATGCAGTTTCATTGCTTTATTGTCCTTAGTTATTCCTCATGTCCTCATGTTGCATGGTGTCATTTATATGCAGTCCTGAAGAACCCTTTCATGAAATTATTTATCCTAAAGGTGATCCTGATGCTATTTCCATTAGTAAGCAAGATGTTGACCTACTTCGACCAGAGACATTCATCAATGATACTATCGTGGATTTTTACATTATGTTAGTATGGTTCCTGCTATTTTATCTAACGTTTTTGGCATTGTCGCATAAAGAATAATTCAGAATATATAAAACAATGGGCAGGTATCTTAAGAGTAATATCCCTTCAGAGAAGAAGCAAATGTTCCATTTCTTCAATTGTTTTTTCTTTCAAAAGCTGATTGGTCTGGATAAAGATCCATCTCAAGCTTGTGATGGAAAGTCAGCTTTTCAGCGCATTCGCAGATGGACAATGAAAGTTGATATTTTCAAGAAAGGTTACATTTTTATTCCAATAAACTTCAGGTAGGAGAGCATTCTACACTCTACAACCAATTAAAGTTTTAGGAAATTTCCTAAAATAGGATTAAAAACAAGGTGGTTTTCATAAAAAGTACTACGTTTTTTTCCTCGATAGGAGTAAAGTACTGCCTTCGTGAAACAATATTGTCATATTATGGCATTATCATGCATTAATATGACAGCATTAGTGCAATATGTTTTCAGGATGACAATAGTTACTCCTATAAGGAAAAGACATAGTACTCATATTTAAGAAAATCACCTTGCTTTTACTCCTATTTAGGGCAATTTTGTATAAGTATTTTAGTCTTCTGTGTCTTAGCACACAATCATAATTTTTTTCCTGCAGTCTTCACTGGAGTTTGATTGTCATCTGTCACCCTGGGGAAGTGGCTGACTATCGAGGTCTGTTCGTTAACTTATGTCTGCAGTTGTATCAATTTTGCTTATATTGATGTCTTCAATGATAAAAACTATTAAACAGATGATGAAATGGAGACGTCGTCCCGGGTCCCTTGTATCTTGCACTTGGATTCTCTAAGAGGAAGCCACAAGGGGCTCAATAATCTCTTTCAAAGGTGATCTGGAGCTGGGTTTGAAACAATTTGCAGTCCTTTAGTTCTTATGAATACTTTTCCTACAATACTTTCACCACAACTTCTAAAAGGAAGGGAAATGCCTGAATGATTGACTCATACTTGACATACACCATATTAAATTTAGTTAAGTTTTGCTTCTATCTTTGTAGCTTTCTTTAGTGTAGAAGCAATGTGGGAATGAATGTGGATATTAGCAGAAACTTCGGAAATAAATCTAGGGGAAAAAAATTCAAAACAACTAAACAAGGAAACTAACAAATCTAGTAGATAAGGCCGGTGGGATAAATAAATACTATGTAATATTAATAATCATTCACCATCATGCAAGCAGTTACTTGTGCGAAGAGTGGGAAGCTAGACATGGTGGTTTGCAGGATGAAAATATTCGTAGGAAGTTCTTGAATCTACAGTTTATTCATCCCAAGGTATAATCACCTCTCTATTTTCCTCCATGTCTCACAACTGAAAACACGTTTCATGGGAAAAATATGTGTTGAGGATGTTAAGGTACACTTAACATCTTGAAGGTCCTTTCGAGGCGAGCAGCGAGCTTTGATACTTTGATATGATATCAGCCTGTTCAGGTTGTAGTTTTTTTTGGCACTGACAACTTAGAGTAACCTGTTTGGGTCAGTTTGCCATATCCATTTATTGATTTGTCTAGCCTGATTTGAACTGAACGGAAGTCTATTAGTGTAACATATTGATGATCCTTTTGGGGAGAGTTAAGCCAAATTTAATATTTCTTCGTCTATATGTATTGGATATATCTAAAGAATATGAGTTTGCAAGAATGTCTAAAATCGATTTGTTGAGTTTTTTTTTTACTTATGCTCCAAAATTTCATTCCTTCCAAATTTCCCTTCTATTTCCTCCCTATTTTTTGCTTAGCATTTTATGGGTTCCAAAGAAAATTTAAGTACACAGCATATTCATTTATTTATATTGCAGCTGCTGAATTTCTTTTGAACTTGTTTCAGCTACCACAACAGGATAACTTGTTTGATTGTGGCCTGTTTTTGCTTCACTATGTTGAACTTTTTGTGGAGCAGGCTCCGATCAATTTCAACCCATTTAGACTTTCACCTGAATATGTAAGTTACCTTTTGTAGTGTTTGGACTTGAGCCTCTTCTGGAGGTTATTACCATGTAAAGTTGTCTTTTAGTATAGGTTCCAAGTCTGCTTTTTTACATTCCAAGCTTCATTTTATTGTAAGACGTTACATAAGCAAGTTTCTTATGCGTGTACTCAGGTTTGAGTGTCCAGTGTCAAACCGCTTGTTCTAAGACTTCTAGGCTCATTGTTATTCTATCGCTGCTACTGTATTATGAACTCTTACTGCTTGTTTGGTCAAAGGAGAGGTATGAGAAATGGGGGGAGGGGTTGAAAAAGATGTTATGTTTGGTTCAATGTAGGAGTGTTGGAAGAAATTATTATTTTAGGAAATATATATAAAAAAATACATTTGATATAGATGTTGTGGCAACAAAAAAATACGTAGTATAAGAATATGTATGCATTACTATAATGGTGCAAAAATAGATAATAAAGATGAAAAGGAAATTAAGAAAAAAGTCCCCTCCATAATACCCTAAATCATGCGAGTGAGATATAGGTATTAGGAGTTTTGATGAGGTCCACCTCTCCTACAACACTCCACTTTTTCTCCCCTTCCAAATTCCTCCAACCAGACAAGGACTTAATGCTTTGCTTAATTATTCTGTTTTTGTGTGTGTGTGTGTGCGAAATGTCTATCAATAGTTACATAAGAATAAGCATATATTTACTTCTTTTTCAGCTAAGCAAGGACTGGTTCCAGCCTAAAGATGTGTCTCAAAAGCGTGACTGCATCAGGAATTTGATTTATGAAATTCTAAAACAAAACCGCAATGATTGTTCAACTGATTATGATTACAATTATTCTTGTAATAGTACATTTAAGGAACATGCAAGCGTGGAAGTCATTGATTCTGAAGTTCAAATTATGTCTCCACCCCAAATGCATGTTGATAACATTAAGTTTGCCGGACTATCGGATGCTGTGTCAACTCCATGTCATTCCATCATCAGCAATTATATGAATTCTGGATTGGAGAAGCTGACAAATCATGTGGATAAATTTATGTCACCAATAGAGGTAATTGATATGGCTACTGATCATCATTATGCTTGCCTTATTTTTCCATCAAACATGATGAAGACAGCTAATTTAAAAACATTATTCCCTTGCCCTGCTAATGAAGGGTCGTATTGAGCCCAGAAAATGCGCAGGAGAGCAATACTCCATAATCCATATGTAGGAAAGTTGAGGGGAAATTTGAAAGGAAAAAATTGGGAAAAAAAAGTTGGTTCAATCGCAACCAATTAATTTGAGATATTTTTTAACTCATTTTGTTAATCGTAAAACTTTGACTTTTGCTCTATCCACATTTCACATGCCTTTGTCGGTATTTTTATATAAAAAAAGGCTAAAAGGTCAAATAGGTACATGAACTAACTTAAAGTGTTCAATTAGCCCCTAATATAGGAGGTTCTACCCGGCCGTCGCCAATTGGGGCGGTTCCCGGTGGAAGTTTTTGATGCAATTTGTTGAGCATCTTCTTCATTAAGTCTAGTTTACTCATACCAAATTTCAGCTAAAAATTCAACCGGGAAGGCAGTCAAATGAGTTTTTGAAGATAACTGCGCAGTTAAACTACGCAGTACATTTCGGAAAATCATTTGACTGCCTTCCCGATTTTATTTTTAGCTGAAATTTGGTATGGGTAAACTAGACTTAATGAAGAAGATGCTCAAAAAAATTCATCAAAAAATTCAACCGGGAACCGCCCCAATTGGCGATGGCCGCGCACAACCTCCTATATAAGGGGCTAATTGAACACTTTAAGTTAGTTCATGTACCTATTTGACCCTTTAGCCTATAAAAAAATCGTATCCTATAAAATCTTATTAAATTTCTCTGAAATGTTATTTTTCAGAATCATGGGCGGATCTAGGGGTGGGCCAACCTAGGCCATGGCCCACCCCAAATTTTAAAAATGGCTTAATTTTTAAAGTAAAAAATTTCGTGTAATTTGTTTTTCCAAAAATATTCTGTGTACTGGCCCAGTCCGACCCAGTGCCCTGGCTCCGCCCCTGTTCAGAATATTGTTTTTTATGATTTTTATTAATACATAATTAAATATGTATTAAATATATAATGGTCAAAGTTGTGTATTAGCATTTAGCATATACAAAAGTAAAGTTATTTCAAGTAGTTCCCATGTAGATCGGGCTTAACCTGATTAATATCTGACTATACCACCTACTGGGCGGGGCAGCCTGCATCTAGTGCATAACATTGCTTGTAATCTTATCAGTCTCCCCTACAGGAAGAAGAAGACGAGATAGAAGAGTTTATGGACATCTCTCCAGCAGTAAAAGAGAGGAACCCGCAGACTGAACTTCTAGCATTGTTGTCCCCTACAAATGAGAGAAAACTTCCCTTTCCCTTCCCAATAAGGTCATCACCATCATCACAATGTTCATGTGTGGAACCAGCAGAGTGGATTGTTCTCGATTCTCAGGACGAGAACACCAGCTGCGATGATGATTCACCAGAACGTTCTTTCCAACGGAAGGCAATAAACAATTCTTCCTTCTGCAACATAGAGATTGACTCCACTGACGATGAAGCAAATCATATTCAGAAAGAAGAAAAAGCTGCAATAAGGCCTGAAGTAATTTACGCTTCTGGTTCTAAAATCAGAAAAGATGAGTGGAAGCGTGCGGAACTCCATCATGATGACTTGTTCGTTGAAGACTCAGAAGATGATGAAGATACCATTCCCAGAAGCAATTGTCAGTTGAGGAAAACCATAGTACATCTATCAGAAGACTTGCATACAAAACAATTTTATGAATGATTATTAATATAAAATATATACGTGTGTGTATAATATACTCCGTATTTGTATATAGTTAAGCAAGTGCATTTAAGACTAAGGTGGTGCTTCTGGGAGATTGAAGCATGAAAATTTGAGCATTTTGAGGTTATTTTCTCATTTGATCTTTTTGTAAGTATATTGTGTTCCCTTTTCTTTGAAGATGACGTGTTATTTTTTGCTCTATGCAGATTATAAAACTACGTAAAAAAATACAATTGCAATTTCTTGAAAAAATATCCAGATTGCCAACATTTTTAGTAACATAACAAATCAAAATAATGATATCTACGGATCCATTGGCCACCATAAACTCACACAACAAATGTATATATTTAGTGACCATAAATCATACTCCGTACTTTGTTATACTTTTGCATTTGCTTTTTCTTTCTAAAAAGTAATTTATGTTTTCCATTAATAAAAATGGTTCTGATAGCTTCGCCAAAGTACCATTAATAGTACTACTTCTGTCCCTAAATGTTTGTCCTAGTTTGTTTTCACAGATATTAAGGAAATGAAATTGACTTTACACTGTAGCAACACTATTTGACACTGTTTTGCACTGTTTGACATTGTTTTGCACTGTTTGACATTGTTTGATAAAGATTTGTTTGCCAAATAAGGAAGTTAAAAAAGTAGGACAAACATTTTGGGACATCCATTTCGGGAAAGTAGGACAAACATTTAGGCACGGAGGGAATATTTAGAAAGAAGACATAGCTAAGCGTAGAGAGAGAAACATGTATTGCATTAATAAGTATTGGAGCCGTTACATATGTCCAATTAGGGCTATTTATACTAGTCGTAAATGATGTATGCTTTAAATGAATGTATACGTGTAGATATTTTAGAAGCTCTACAGTGTAGAATTAGCGGGCACACTACACATGCTCATGTCCTGTGGAGATGAACTAATGGGCTCGAGCCCTCCACTAGACAAGAAGTCCAAGTCGAAAGGTATCGAGACAGGTAGTAGCAAGCAAGCAAGGGAGGGAGGAAACAAGCAAGCAAGCAAATAAATAAACTAAAAAAAACTAATAATTAAAATTAATAGTAATTTAAATATTATTAATAATAAATACTCCATCTTTATCAAAATACTAGTTGTTAAAAGAATTGATAAATTGGAAACTTGTTTTCCTTTAAAAGAAAAAAGAAACCGATTTTCCCGGTCATAGTCTTCTGATTTTGAATCGGTTGAACAGATTTGATTCCGAATAAAACTGATAATATATATTCAATCCAATTTGCAGTTTCTATTTTTTGCAAATTCGATTCCAGTCGAGTCTAGTTTAGTTTTGAACCTGTGCATACCACTATGCTTTTATAAATAATAGCTCAATGTGCTTCCTCCTTTACGTGGCCCTCATTAATGAATCTACATATGGGTTTGCACTGGAACAATTTTATAGGTAATACTACCTCCGCCCCATAATATTGGGACGAAAGAGTGATGTACGGAATAATTTTTAAGAAAAGTAGAATTATGTGGTTGATAATGAGTTGATAAAGTGAGAATAAAGTAAGAATGAATTAGAGTCACACAAATATTACCAGGTATAGGACAATAATAGGGGACATTCAAAAATGAAAAAAATGAGACAATTATAGGGGGACGGAGGGAGTACTACAAATAACTTTGGACTTCAAAAAGGAAATTTATAAAAAGGACGGTGTTTTTTGGACATAAGAAAATTGTGTTTAAGAAATTCGATAACAAACATGCACGGGTAGCGCAGTTGGTTAGGTGGTGGGAAAGTTGGATTGAAAACTGTAGCCGCCGTGTGGAGGTTACAGCTCCTACGTGATGGGTAGGGGCGGAGCTAGAGGGTGGCCAACCCTGGCCACGGCCCAATCCAAATTTTAAGACTGTCTATATTTTTAGTGTAAAAAATTCCGTGTAATTTTTTTTCAAAAATATTCTTTGTACCGGCCCAGTCCGGTCCAGTGTCCTGGCTTCGCCCCTGGTGATGGGCTAGACCTCTGGTGTACACGCCTACACGGTACAAAGTTTATCACCATTGGGCCGACTGAGTCATCGTGACTTACAACCTCCTAAAAGTCTTGTCGGATCGGAGCGTGAGAGCCCTTGGGGTTCGGGACCCAATCTTTTGGAAGAGTAGAAATTCGATAACAAACTTAACCACGTAAAACATTATGGCTAATAACTTGCCACGCAAAACACATAAAGTGAGAAAATTGTTTTTGATAATTGGTAGAACCAAAACGTAACATTTTTCAAAACAAAATAAGATCATATGTTTTTTTAAAATGAGACTAATTAGTTCATTTCTACTCCTAAAATAAATTAATTAATTAACTGTCTCCTAGTTTCCTTGCATAACCAAGTTTAATCCGTTGATGACATATCAGTCCATGGTGACGATAGCAAATTCGGGTGGCGGGGAAATTTTGGCAAATCAGAGAATGAATTATGAGAAAATTTCTGGCGGTCCACCAACTCGGACAATCTAGGGGCAAGTCATGCAACAACTTCAACTACATAAAAGTGTTTTTCTTCAATCACAAATAAAAAGATCATACAGAGTACTCCCTCCGTATTTAAAAGATCACTACGTTTGATTATGACACAAGATTTAAGGTAGAATAGTAGGGGTAATGAATAATATAGAAAAAGTAAGAAAGATGGTGAAAAGTAGGAAAAAGATGATAAAAAGTAGAAAAAGTAAGAGTAATTGAGTATTTTTAAAGGAAAAACTTACCAAAATGGGAAAGTGTAGGATTTTTTTTAAATACAATCTAAAAAAAATGTAGAGATATTTTAAATACGATTTTAAACGGAAGGAGTACCTATTTATGGGAATTAAAAATATGTGATCTTATAATCCTATTTGAAAAATAGAGGAGTTTCAATAGCACGGAGGAGACTCCATTTCCCTCGCAAGCGCTCAATTCAAATTCTCTTTTCCACAAAAGAAAAGATAGATTTCACAATAGGGTTCTTCTCTAATTCAAATTCAAATTTCTGATTCTCCGATCCTCTCCACCAACGTAAGCTTCTTATCTCTCATGTGTCTGCGCGCTTCTGTAGGATATGCTCATTTACACTGCGTAGTATACTCTGTGCTATGGTGATGTTTATGTTTGTGTAAATTTCTGAATATTTTTCAGTCTAATAATGCAATATATGCCTTAGGGTCCGTACTGGATTTCCGGTTTCCATATGAATCCATTGCTCGCTTTTCATTTGTTAATCAATTTTTTAATTATTCGGGGAACCCTAGGAGTTATAGATTCTTCGATTTCTGTGAAATGGTTGCTTGAGTAGTCAATTGCTGAAAAAAAGTTCGTAATAATTTTCTCCGATAGCCAATTCTTTTAATGGAATTTCCCAGGGCATATGCTTATACCGCTGAGAACTTAATAGCAGATTGTGTTAATATTGCTAATTTGCTATGCCTTTTACCTCTCGTGAGAAGCTGGAAATGAGTTTATGATTAAGATTGAAGACAAATTGATATGAAGCAGGGAGAGATCTTTTTTATATCACTTCTAAGCAATCCGTTTATGATTAAGATTGAAGACAAATTAATATGAGTTTATTTTACTTTTTTAATTAGTCATTAACATTTGCACATTATCTTTTTTCGCCTGAATTTTTTTAATTTTATGCTCTGAACTGTGAAGGGGGGAATGGAGAAGCTTTATGAAGAGCTGGATGAGGTCAAAGTAGAGGCAGAGAAGCTCAGAGAAGAATGTCGAGCCAAAACTGAGCTAATGGGAACTCTGAAAAAAGTTCAAGTTGAATTATCAGCAAAACTTCAAGAAGCGAAGTTGGAGATTGAAAGACTAAACAAGGAATTGTGTGCCAAGTCCAAAGAGATTTTTGAGGTAAGGCAACTCTCTGACGATGCCAAGACTATCTTACAGGAAAAGGAGCTGCTTCTCCAGAACCTTAACTCTGCTAATCAAAAGATGAGAGTTGATTACTCAGATAAGATTGTGAAATTGGAGGGAGAAAATAAAGGATTACTTCGGGCTTTAGATGAAGCAACGGGTAAAATTTGTGATCTGGAGAAAAAGGTTTCTGCCAGTGAGAAGGAAATCTATTCTCTCAAGCAATCATTATCAGCCAAAAAGGACAAGTGTGTTGAAGCTCAGCTGAATGTCCAGTCATCAAGAGAACTCAAAGACGCAAATAGGATAATCCAGAAGCTTGAGGAAGAAAATAGGATCTCTCAAGAACAGCTGAAGTGGAAGAACGAGCAGTTCACGCACCTCGAAGATGCTCATAGAAGACTTCATGAGGATTCCCAGGCACGTAAAGCTGAATGGGGAAATGAAAAATCAGAACTGCTCAAAGAGATCTCTTCCTTGCAAACAAGCTTAGATTCCCAAATTAGAATCTCAAAAGATCTTGAGACTGAGCTGAGGATTTGTAATCAAGCTTTAGCTCATGAGGAAACCAAAAGAAAGGTTCTTGAAGTGAAAGTGTCCGAGTTGAGATCTCAATGTGATGGAATCTTGTTAGAGCACCAAGAAACAAAATCGAAGCTTGAGAATCTGACATTCAAGAGGGACGAAGAAATAGGAGAGCTTCGGAACATGCTAAGAACAAAAGAAACTTTATTCAAGGAAACAAAATGCAGATCTTCACAACTAGAGCAAGAGAATCTGGAATTACATGCATCTCTTAAGGAGCTTCAAGAGACAATACGCAATGAGGCCACTGCAAGATCATCTCTTAAAAAACTGCAAACCAGATTTAACTCTCTGGAGAAGTTGCACAACAAGTGCTCCCTACAATACAATGAAATGGAAGCTAAGTTGAGATCTGACATTGAGAAACTGACTCAAGCTATGGAAGAATGCACGTCTGAATTGAAGGTTAAAAGCAAAGAAATTGAGAGATTGGAGAAGGACCTAGAGGGTTGCTATTGCTCAATGTATGTTCAAAAGGAATATGTTTCCATATTACTCCTTGTGTTGAAGTCAGAATTTCATCATGTAGCCTCCGGCAAGGATATCTCCACTGAATTAGAGCCACACAACAAGGAGCAGGGCAATCAACTTTTTCTTAATGAGCAGTTGGAATCGAGGGAAAATCCAAAAGTTTATGCTGATCTAGAAGAGAAATGCGAAGAAATAATTGACCCCACTGCAGAAATCCAAAGTTTTATAGAGGCAATGGAAGAATCACATGAAGATGCTCTCCAAGAAAGCAAAGACTCTTCTGAAGCTCTAGTGAAACCTAACGTTCATTTGGCCAAGAGAACAACTGAACTCAGGGATAGTGAACTTGAAGCACAGAAGTTTGAGTCTATGGCAAGTTTTATGAAAACAGACCTGAAAAAGAGCCAACCAGCTAATGATAAGGAAAATGAGAGGCTTTTTGTCATTACAAAAGAACATGATTCCAAGGTAAGTGATATGGAACAGAAGATATCAGAACTGGAGTCAAGAGCAGCGGATGTGGATACATTACTGAAAGAAAACAATCTGTTAAGGCAGGAATTATCCAAACTGAAAAATGAGAATGCAAAACCAGACGCTCTTCTGACTTTAGAGAAAGAGAAGCAGAAGCTTCTGGTGATTCTGGAAGAGAAGGATAATAAAATACATAATCTCACGGAGGAGGCAAAACATTTAGGGAAAAAGTTAGCAATTGCTGAATCTGCAATCACAGAAAAAGATAACTTGCTTTATGAAGCCTTGCAGAAGGCCGAGAGTTCGAAAGCTGTTGAGATTGAGTTGAAAAACAAGGTCATTGCTGAATTGAATGAGGAAACACAAAGACTGAAAAGTCAATTTGGTAGGGAGCGGAAGAAACTGGAGGGTAGAAACCAGGAGCTTGAGTCCCAGAAAAATGCTTTACTTCATGATATAATGAAACTGTTACATGAACGGGAAGGCTTTTTAGTTCAGATGAATGGAATATGCACAAGACTTGGCGAGTCTTTGGAAGATGTTGAACTTACTGAAATTCTGGGGAGAATGTTAACACATTCTAAAGATGAAGATGAGGTTGATATGGACCATATCAGTACAGATGATAATCATACTAGCAGGAAAGCTAAAAAAATGTTCTTACCCACTCAGAAAGGGTTTGAAGGACGCATTGATGAAAGAATTCCTTTGAAGGAACTGAACCATTAGTGTGCCTCCTTTTTCAGTGAGAGAATGTTTTTACAGTGAACTAAAGCTTTCTTTCAGAACTTCGGTAGACGGTAGCTCATCACATGTCATTCTGTTATTGTGCCATGAACATTTGCTTTTTCCATGGTTATGATAAATTTATCAAAGAGTTTTCTTTAAGAAGTGTTTTGAGTATTGGAAATGTTAGACACGAGTACCCATTCTTTTTTCTATTTTACCCTCAGCAGATTTCTTCCATTTATTATGAGATTGAGATTTCACACTTAAATCCTATTTCTGAAAAAAAGAAACAAACAAACTTTCAGGCTCACACAAACATGGTATACCACTCTCTAAAGATATACGCTTGGCATATTACATCAATACATCCTAATCTATAACTGAAAACTTTCTAACAAAATCTCAAATATTAATATAAAATGATACTATAACTAATCCGTAAATGAATCAGCTGATAAGTTAATGTTTTTTTATAGTTGTTTGAACTTTTCTCTGTAGTTGTATTACTCGTATACTTTGTGTGTAAGTTTCACCTACTAATTATACGTATACGAAACACTAATTACTAAATTCACCACAGCTTAAAAATATAAGCATGACAAGTTTATCAACTCAAAACTAGACTTTTCAAAAAAAAAACTCAAAACTAGAAAGAAATGAAGAAATATGAAACAATATTAAGATTTTTGTATTAAATATTACTACGTACTAATTAATTAATAGAAGGTCTAATTGTGAGAAAAGTTGAAGTTTGAATCTTTTGTTATAAAATTTAAAAAATAAAATACATTGGTAAATTTGATGATAATTGGGTAAATTTAAAAGTAAAAGTTGTGTATTTGTACGGAGGAGAAAGAAATGAGAAGAACCACAAATTAATTACTTTAATTGAAAAAAGGGGAAAAATGGGACAACCAAAAGGAGAAACTTGATAAAGTCCAATGAGACGGAGGGCGTAATAATTTACTCAAATAGAAGTAACATTATTTTCTTTTTAAAGTATAACTCATACACTCCTATTTAGGGAATTTTTATTATTTTATTATTTTAATAAGACTGAGTATGTTATATTTTGAGAAGAAAACATATTTATTCCTATTTTAGGACTTTGCTTATATTCTACTCCTACTTTTTGTAATTTCTTTGATAAAAAGTAAAATAAGGAAAGTCCTATAGAAGGTCTTTTCTGCTGAACTTGATAGTGTAAAAATGACAAAATACCCACATCTTTAGATACTTTGCATTATAAGTTTTATTCACCACTCCCTATGTCTCATTCTAAGGTCCTCACTTTTCTTTAAGTAGCAATTTAATCATTTTAAAAAAAAGTAACAATTTAATCATCAAATATTAAAAATAATGCATCTATAACATCACAATTATCATCAATGACCCTATCATATATCCATCAAACATATTTCTAAAAAGGGAAAGTTCCCGAAATGGGACTAAAAAAGTTTGAAAATTCTAAAATAGGACTGTCATGTTTTTATTCCCAAAAGAGGACTAATTACTGTCAAAGTTGGAAAATACTGCCATGTTTGAAGTCTGGTACTGCCAAAACATGACAGTAATTAGTCCTATTTTGGGAATAAAAACATGGAAGTCCTATTTTGGAATTTCCAAACTTTTTTAGTCCCATTTTGGGTAATATCTCTTCTAAAAAATGTACTCGAATTACATTATTTAATTAGTCTTAATAATTGTGTCATTTTATAACAAGAACCTTAACGCGGGACAATGGTAGTAACATTGTTTGATACTTTTTTCAATAATTAAGCAAATTCACCCAATTTATCCATATCAAGCACAATATTAGCCAAGTCATTCTTGTCAAACATTTCAAACGAATCACATTTTTTTAGTAGACTATTACTTGATTAAAAATATATGAACACACACCCAGAAATTCATAGGTTAACGAAATGAATGGTATAAAGGATGAAGCCATTTTCCTAAAGCAAAACTAAGCTCTGAATTACTGCAAATCACTGTGGTGCAAGCTAAACTTCATTCGTCCTCATCTATTTGTGATGAACTTGGCTTTTTAGGGAACTTAGCCCATCTTTCTTTGTTCTTTTCCAATGACGCGAAATTCTGCTTGAAACATGTAAGTCCTTCCTTCAAAGCCACAATGTTCACACCATTGTTCACCAATATGCTAGTTACACCCATTTTAGAAACCTAGAAACAAACACTATAAGTACAAACAAACACAAAACAAACAAAGTAATGAAAAAAATATTGATCAATTGATGGGAATAGCAGAAAAGCATTCTTAGTTACTTACAGCCTCTATGTTCCTGTCTTCATCATCGAAAAACAGCATTTCATTATAAGGCACCCCTGTTATTTGGTGGATTTTTTGAAAATGTTCTGTCTTGTGGGACCAACTGGAGAACACTTCCTGGAAGTATTACAAGATCTTTAAATAAACACAATCATTAAAAATCATAAGACACACACACACGTTATGACTTATGGTCACTGATATCGTTTCGATTAAAAAATCAAGCTGAGGTTAAGGAGATGATGATCCTAAGTTATCCGAAAAAACTGCTAAATTTCACCTGTGCTACAAACATTGACTTGATTTGGAGCTTTTCCAGGAAAGTGTTGGCTATGTCTGGAGTGGGTGATCTTGAAGCAATAGCAATATCAACTCTTTTCTCCTTCAGAGCATTTAATATGCCTTTTGCTTGAGGATACATAGTAGGCATTTCACGTTTGGAACGACACTCACTGAGGTGTAAGATCAGATTAAAACTCAATTAATTGTTTTGCGCATAATGCAGAAATCAATGAGCATATTTGTAAGACACATCATATAATACAGAGTAATGATCTGGATATTATTTTATACGGAGTATAGTTTACTCAATCATACATTCTTTTTCTAAGATCATCATAAACGGACCATTTACTAAATACACCGTAAAAACATACACTTAACATTAAGGAAGAAAACTTAACATATACTGATACAGGGGGTGTTTGGATCTGATTCTTAAAACTGCTTCTTCTTCTTTAGGGAGGCAGAAGCAGAAGTGTTTGAGTGAAAACTGAAAAGTGCACAAGTACTTCTAGTAATCTAATTAACTCCTTGAATCAGTTTTTTTAGAAGCTGGGGTAGACCATCTAAAAATTGATTCAGTTTCAGCTTTAAAAAAGAAGCATAATCATTCCAAACACCTCATAGTATGGCATATCATATCATCTAAATAACTTGAAAGCTGAGATCTTCCGCACATATAAAAGCTCCGGTCTTTTTTATTCAGAAAAAGATAAAACTACAGTGAAAAACAAGAAATTATAGTGGATATTTATTTATTAACAGGAAGAGTACAGTATACAAATTGCAGTCAAGATCAATAGAATATTATAAAAGAAAGAAAAATTAGTGGGAGTATATATACCAGTAGAAGGGCCAGAGAGTGTAATCAAGATCAAAGACGACCAAACGAGGCAAAACTTGGAACATTCCCAGCACCTGCATCGCCTCACTCTTCACCCTTTCGTCTCCCATCTCCAAACTACAAAGCTCTCTGCGATCCTCACGTTTTGTTCCGGGCACTATTGATATTTCAACACGATCAGGTGAGAAATAAGAATAAAAATTGTGCAGAAGTGTACGGAATCACAAATAAATTGCTTTAATGAAAAAGTTGCAAAGTTTTTAGCGAAGTTCAGACGGAGTGAGTAGTATATTAGGATGTTTTCTTTTGGACTGAAATTTGCTGGTCTGGTCTGGTCTGTTTAAGTCTGGTCTGGTCTGATCTGGTTTGTTTAAGTCTGGTCTGGTCTGGTCTGAACTGGACTGGTCTGGTCTGGTAAACGTCTGGTCTCTGTGTATTTTATAACTACGGAAGTCTGGTCTGGTCTGTTTAAGTCTGGTCTGGTCTGGTCTGTTTAAGTCTGGTCTGGTCTGGTCTGGGACTGAAAACAGTCCAAAAGAAAACATCCTTAGAATAGTAGTTTTTCTTGTATACACTTTTTCAGTTTTTTTGTCCGTAAATAATTTGTAAAAGTGTGTAAATAATTAAATGTGTAGATCAAGAATTGTTGGTTCTAAAATAAGAGTAGGAATTTAGGAGGATGCTAAAAAAAAAAGTTCAACCCATATAATTTATTTCAGTTATACGGAATAAAGCTAGCTGTGTTAAAATTCATATTTATCTGTCAATCAACTTAAAAGTAGTTCATAGACTCCAAAATTATAAGTAAAAAAAAAATAAAGATTCGTGCTATAATAATTAAGTGATCCGAGTTTTTTTCCGTATTAATGTTAATTAATAAAATAATTACGAAAATAGAGTTGGATTAAAAGTATTTATCAATATACTGCTGGGTTAACCATGGTCGGGGTAAGTCGCCAAACGGTTTGGCGACTTATAAGTCGCCCAACCGTTGGACGACTTTCCCTTAAGTAAATTCATCGCAGGCATCCAAAACAGAACGCGTAAACCAAAACCCCAAATCGAGCTTACCTGTAGCGACGAACGACGAAGGACAACCGATGAATGACGAGAGCTATCTCCAAGTCCGACGAACCTCCCTCTCCGTCGACCCCATTCCGGCGAACCTCCATCTCCATCTTCAACACTCTTTCTTCTTTCTTCTAGGTGAATCAAACTCCATTTCATCTCATTTTGAACTTAGGGTTTGGAATGTTTGAATTTTCGAATTTTTAGATTATGAATTGATTGTGAATTCAGTTGTTGTGAAATGTGGATATGTATGAAAGCTTGAAATTTGATTTTAAATTGATTGGAAATTTTAATGTGTATTTTGACATTTGGGCATTTTGGTAGATTTGAATGTAGCTAAATTTGGGTATTAAACTGTAGATTTGAATGTAGATATCAACATTTGGGTATTTTCATATTGAAATGTGAATTGATTGTGAATTTTGACTATTGGGTATATTCGAATGTAGGTAGTTTTTTCTAATGAAAATTTGAATGTGTTTGAAGTGTGTATATTGATGTCTACTCATGAATGTTGGAAAATGAATTGCTATTAGAATATGGATTTCTCAAGCTTCCCAATCGTTTGTCATTGGGGAGGGAACTATTATGAGGATGCTGGGCAAATATGCCATGAAGGTGGCAGAACCAGCTTTGTCATGGTTTCTCGTAGCGCTTGCATGCTCGAGATCCTTCAAAAAATATATGCAGCGACAATGATTCATCCTAGCCGTTCTTTGCGGTTGAAAATGAAATTTCCCATGAACGGGGGAAAGTACATGCTTATGCCCCTCATTAATGAGCTAACTATAACAAATATGTGGGGCATAGTTCAGATGGAGGATATGTCCACGCTGGAGATATACATTGAGGAATCCTGTGACGCTTATGGTACTCAATCAACATCAAATGCTGTTGTATCTACGCATGATCTCAATGCAGGTGTGAATGCAGGGAACTCCTCAATGCTCATGTACTGGACATGGTTATACAGGAAGATGGTAGGTATTTGCACAACGGTGCATCATTTATGGATGGGCAGGGAAGTGATGATGATGCTGACGAGAACATCAATGGTGATGACATGACAGAATCTAATGAAGATGATGGTGATACTGTCACGGCAACTGCCCGTCTAGCCACTTTACTAGAATATATGATCTTCCTGAAGGCTTTACTAATGCGTGAATGAGTGGATCAGGTGAGAAAAGGTTTACCCCCAAAAGTGAGTTTGAGGTCGGTCAACAGTTTGACAACAAAGAACAAGTCATCAATATGGTGAGCTTGTATTCTATCAAACCGAACCAATTTTATCGGGTGATAGAGTCTGATAAACACAAATGGGTGGCACAATGCAAAAGGAAGAAAGAATGTAATTACCCCTGGAGAATACGCGCCACAAAGAAAAAAGGCAACCTTGACACCTTCACAATTGTGCGTTATCCTGGACCTCATTCTACTTCGTGCGTTGGCAACACCGACACTACCGATCACGTGGCTTTGACTTAAGATTTCATCTCTAAAGATGTAATTGACATTGTTCGCACTATCCTTCCCTTAAAGTGCATACTATCATTGAGATGTTGAAGGAAAAGTATGGGTATACGGTATTATACCGGAGAACATGGATGGGGAAGCAAAAGGCCATAGCAGAAATATTTGGCGTTTGGGAGAAGTCATATTCTGAATTTCCCCGTTTCATGATAGCGCTCCAACATTCAAATCCTGGAACTATTGTGATGCGAACAACCAAATATTGCCCCGTTTCTGAATTGCTCGTGGCCATGGGTTGTGATGCGAACAACCAAATATTTCCAGTGGCCTTTGCAATTGTTGAATCTGAGAATGTGGATAGTTGGCCATGGTTTATGGCATGTATTAGGCAGTTTGTCACTAATAGGGAGTTGTGTGTCATTTCTGATAGACATGGAGGTATTGTCAAGACAATGAATGAGGTGGGCAGTACTTGGAAGGAGCCTTATGCGCATCATAGGCTATGTATACGTCATCTTGCATTGAATGTGCACACTCATTTCAAAGACATTCATCTTAAAAATCTTTTTGTTTGGACCGCACGGCAACATCAGAAAAAGAAGTTTGATGGTGGGTTCAAGAAGATAGGTGAAATGAGATTGGAGGCACGACAATTTTTGGGGAACATTCCCCCGGAAATGTGGTCACTGCACCACGATGGCGGGTACAGATACAGTACCATCACTTCTAATCTGGCAGAGGTTTTCAATAGCGTGATGAAAAATGCCAGATATTTGCCCATCACCGCTTTGGTCCAGATTTCCTTTTATCGGGTTAATGCTTATTTTGTTAATAGGCGTGAAATCAGTTAAATGAGGCTGACAGAAGGCCACGAGTACTCCCCACACATCACAGATTTAATTGATAAGAATAGAGAGAAGGCGAAGCATCACACGGTGACTCCATTTGATTTAGGTCGAGGTATATTTCAAGTGGAAACCGCTTGTGGTGGCCGAACGTTGGGGAAGGGTGGGAGAAAACAAACTGTCCATCTACAACGGAAAACTTGCACTTGTAAAAAGATGGAGATATATAAGATTCCATGCTCCCAAGTGTTAGCCGTGTGCCACGCTAGCTTATCTCTACAAACAGCTGTGTCGCGGCTGCCATAGAGGGAGCACAGAGCTTGGGTTTTTTTTGCTACTCCTCCAGATTTGGTCATGGGAGTATATCCACATTTAGGGGTGCAAACGAGCTGAGCCGAGCCCGATTTTCTACAGGCTCGAGCTCGAGCTCGAAATATATAGCATCGGCTCGAGCTCGGGCTCGGCTCGAACGAGCCTACAAAATCGCGGCTCGAACTCGACTCGCAGAAGGCTCGGTTCGACTCGGCTCGGCTCGAGGCTCGATAACCATTATGATGCTCCATAATGAGTCCGTAGTAAAAATTCACTGTCATCGGCCCATTCTAAGTTTTTCTACTGAGTAGTAACGACCTAAGCCTAAAATATTATAAAATTTTACTAATCAGCATATATTATATACTCCCTCCGTCCCCTTTTAAATGTCTCGCTTTACCATATTGGGATGTCCCTATTTAATTGTCTCATACCTTATTTGGTAAAGTTTGTGTGGTTCAAAATTATTTTTACTTTATTCTTACTTTATCAATTAATATCAATCACACAAACCCACTTTTCTTAAAACTCGTGTCATACTCTTCCGAGACATTTAAAAGGGGACGGAGGGAGTATATCATATATATTACTCCGTACATTATAACAGTATACATTATATACGTAGTATTAATTTATATTGCATAGTAATATATTATATATGATTATATAATATATATATATATATATATATTATAAATATTCACATATAAAATTAGGCTCGCGAGCCAGCGAGCCTGAAATTAGAAGGCTCGAGCTCGGGCTCGACTGCTTAACGAGCCGGCTCGAGCTCGGCTCGAGCTCGAATTTGACCGATCCCGATTCGAGCTTTGACCGAGCGGCTTGCGAGCGGCTCACGAGCGGCTCGGCTCATTTGCACCCCTATCCACATTGGGCGTCCCATTGTAGTCGCATATCATGGCATTGATGGACACCCACTGCCTGATGAGCCTCCACGTCTTCTAGGACCACATCATGTACGGGGCGAGGACCCTCTAGGCCGTCGATATGTTTTCAATCGTTGGTATTTATGTGATTGTAAATTGAATGTAAATATATTAATAATATCCATATTAATGAAACGGTTACATGAATGGTTAGATGTCTATATGCTGGTCTATCTCGTTTGTCATCCGCTACTGGGTTCGGTGTCTACAGGGATGCATTTGATCGGATGTCTGAGGATCAAGTATGGTGTGGGTAATATAACATTAACTATAATATGTATAACATAAATACTAATTTTGTATCTTTATGAAACGGATTACATGGATGCCGTATACAGCCGAGATGTTTGCAGAGTTCCCCCCAGCTGGACGAGAGCATAGTCACATATGGCGAGCACGTGTGTCGTTGATATGTTTTGACATTGTTGAGATTCATTTGCCTGATAGAGTCTTGCGACAATTTGGGTTTGAGCAGGTCATTCCACGGCTTATCGACACTTATGTAGAGCTTC